CTGTGGAGGGGGTGCTGAGCATCAAGGAACTGTACGCTGAAACTAGGGGATTCCTGGAAGGGAAAGCGGTGAGTGGGGGGCTGGAGAGCACCCCAGGCCCCACAAAGGAGGGACTTGTGCCCTCGGCTGGCACCTCTGGGGGTGGCAGCAGGGCTGGGGATGGTCCCTCTCCCCCACAGCTGGACTCGCCGCAGGAGGAGGAGGTGCTGCACGGCCCCCTGAGCGTGCTGGGCCAGGAGCTGCAGAGGCTGCTAGACATCCACTGGCTGGGGCCCATTGCCCACCCCGCTGAGGAGGTGGGTGCACAGGGACCGGGGGGGTGGTATGGCCCACCAGCTGGCCCCAGAGGGGCTGTAGCACCCCACTCAGCCTGGCTTCTCGCAGGAAAGCGCTGGCAGTGCCAACAAGGGCAGCTTCAAGCTTCGCCTCAACATCCCCAAGCCCAGGAAGGACAAGGACAAAGTGCAAAAGCAGAAGACCAACAGCACGCTCCCAGGTAAAGTGGGCGGCATGCCAGGGAGGGAGACAGGCACAGCCCACACTGGTAGGGACCCCTGTGTGCTGACCTTTCCGTCGGCCTCCTGTCCTGGGCATGCTGTGGCAGGATGCTCTGGAAGGGGGACAGGGCATGTCCTGGCTGCCTGGGGATGTCACCTTTGTCACCAACAGCCCCTTAAAGCTTCATTTTTCTGCTAACGGACATGCAGAGCCCCCCCAGCCCTGTAACTCCACCACCACTGCAAGGGGGAGAAGGGGGCTATGGTACAGCTCAGCCTGTCGGGTAAGTCCCTGCCCCAGGGCTGGGGGGTCTCGTTGAGGGGGAAGAAGCTTGGATGCTCCGTAAGTAAGCTAAAGAGAGGAGAAACCTCTCCAGCCGGAGCCTGCTATGGCCTCTGGCCCTGCCAGAGCTGAGGGTGGGAGGAGGGTATGCTGGCTGCAGCCTGCTGCCTGCCCTGCTGCGTCCGGCTGTCGCCACGGGGGCCCAGTCCACCTCTGTGGTTTTCCTCCCTGCTAGCAGACAAGTGGGGCTCCGAGGAGGTGGCAGCTTGGCTGGAAGCGCTCGGTTTAGGGGAGTACAGAGACATTTTTGTCCGGCATGACATCCAGGGCTCTGAGTTGATCCTGCTGGAGAGGAGAGACCTGAAGGTACAGCCCCCTTGTGCCCCCCCAGAGGGACCCCCAGCCCTGGGGAGCACAGTGTCCTCCTTAGCTCCTCTCCCCATCCCTCCTGACAGTGGGGAGGGAAGGCGGGTGCTGGCCCTGCACCCAGCCTCAGCCCCGCAGGGCTGAGCTTGCACCGCTTGCTTGGCTTGCACAGAGGGGCTGGAAGCAGGGGATGGGGTGGGCCCTGGCCCCCGGCTTGCAAGGCTCTGTACGCCTGCCCAAAGCAGGATCAACAGCACCATGCCCTCTCCTGCACCCAGGCATGGGGATATGCTTGCAAGAGGACAGAGGGCTCCTAGCAAGGACCATGCTCTGGCAGGGAGAGCATAGGGAGCTGGGCTTCGCAGCCTCGTCCTCCACCCTGTGGCTTCCCTGCCAGCAACAGCCAAGGGCTGACCCGCTACAAGCACATCAGCTCCCCTCTCTCCTTCCTGCAGGACCTGGGGATCACCAAAGTGGGCCACATGAAGAGGATCCTCCAGGCCATTAAGGAGCTCAGCAACCCACCCTAGGCCAGCAGCAGGGCAGCAGCCTAGCCCACCCGCTGGGTGCTGCCCCTAGGGACCAGGGGTCAGGCAGGGGGGACTCCAGGTCCCTGCCATGCCCCATGTGTGTGGAGCCCCCCTGCTTGCCTTGCTTTGTTTGTTTGTCCCCCGGTGTCCCTGGAGCCACTGCTTCTTCCTGAGCCTGTGGGGCTGGAAACACTAAAGCAGAGGTCTTGCCCTATAGGCAACATGGCGTGACCCCCAGTCCAGCCCCTGGCAGGGTCACTCCAGGAGCCTGGGCTGCCGTATGTGCACCCAAGCTGGGGCCAAAGCAAAGATCCCCCTTCCTCACGTGGGTATTTAAGCTGTGTAAATATTTGGAGAAAAGATACTCATTGCTGCTGCTCGTGTAGTGTCATTGCTTAGGGGAAGGCAAGGGGGAGGGTGATGGGGACCTGCCCCTTCACCCATCAGGTTCCTGCTCCCCATCACACAACACTCCCCCACCCCAACACAGCAAGTGGAAGCACAGCTCAGGGGCTCAGCATAATCTCCACCACCATCCCCTACTCCTATTCCAGCAGCCACCACCACGTAAGACAAACATCATATTTTATTGACAGCTTCAAATTACTTTTTTCCCCCCCTCCCTCCCCTTCAGTAAAAATTGCTATTATTTATGTACACAGTGCTCCCCTGCCAGGGAGCACCCAGCTATTTACAGGCTATTTACAGAGACAGGGCTAGCAGCTCTTCAGTATCTCCTCCAGCTTGAGCATGTCCATAGGGGTGACTTTGGCAACCTCAAAGAAGACCCTGGAAGGAACCATGTTGGCTTAGAGCTCACCCACAGCCAACACCCATCCACAGCAGGGCTCCCCAGCTCTCTGCAGCACCCAAGGGTGCGTGCTGGAGGCGCCACCCTCCACAGAGGGGGCAGGCACGAGGCAGAGCCCTGGGATGCTCACCTGTGTGAGTACTTGGTGCGCACAGCCTTCAGCTTGTCGTGGGGCTGGTACGTGAGCAGGAAATTCAGCCTCTTCACCAGCGGATGCAGGTCCTGGGAGCGGTACCCGCTGTAGTACTCCAGCGTGGGGGTCTGCAAAGGGACAGCGGGGCTAAGCTGGGTCCTCTCAGCAACAGTACAGTCACCATCTTCCCTCTCCAGCCCCCCAAATCTGAGCATAGCCCCAGAGCATCATCCCCGCAGGCCAGTCCATTCACTCCTGCATGCCCACGGTGCCTCCCATGATGCCTCGGGGGGGGGGAAACAGCAGGTTGGGCAGGCGCTTACCCAGCCACCAAGGTTCTTCATGGTGAGTGCCAGCAGCAGGCAGCTGGCAGCCAGCTTGGAGGGGCTCTCCCGGGCATAATCATACTCCTGCAGGGTCATCTCGCAGAGGAAGCGGGCCAGCGTCAGCGTCTCCATGGTGGCACGGGCGCACTACAGTCGGGCAGGCAGGGAGAGGCTCAGTCTTTTGAGGAACACTGATCCCTGCCTCGGCCTTTTTGGGATCTAGAGTGCTGCCCCTGGGGCACAGGACACAGACCCCACACCCCCAGCCTGCCACAGACCAGCATCCTCACCCCTCAACCGTGTTGGGGGGGCCTGGCCAAACCCTCCTTGCTACCAGCTGGGAGCTCAGGGCATGCACATTGCCACCCCAGGGAGCCAACACAAAGGGTGCCTGGAGGCACCCTGACACCAGCCCGCCCTCCTGCTGCGCCCACCTTGGCAAAGCGTCGCAGGAACCGGTAGGGGATGGGGATGTTGATGTCGAACTTGAGGGTGCTGAGGATGCTCATCTCCATAGCAATGAGCTCTTCCCGCTTGTAGGCATCGTCACAGATGTAGAGGAAGTCATCCACGCACGGTGGGCAGCGCTCCTGCTGGGGCACAACTGCTCAGTACCCTAACGGGAGCTCATCCTGGCAACACTCAGGAAATCCTACCAGTTTGCAGGGCCTGTAAGGGCTCATGCCCTGCCAGACCCTGAAAGGACTGTTACAACATCCAGAGGGGCTTGTGTGTTGTCTATACTCCCCCAGCCCTTGGCCCTAACTCCAAGCCTTGCTTGCATGAGGTGAACTCAGGTGTCCTGATGGTCTCTGCAGAGCAGAGAGGAGCCAGGTCTCCACTGACACCAGGAGATGGGATCCAGCCCACTGGGACTGCATTTGCAGCCCTTGGGATAGAAGGGGTAACAGGACAGACATGCTGCCCCAGCAGCTCTCAGGGCAGTGGCCTGGCACCATGGGGACCTGGCCTTCTCCAATAACCCATGGGGACCACAGAGGCACAGCCTCCTCTGCCCCGGCACCCCAAGACAGCACACAAGGAGTCACCTCAAATTTGGAGGCGATGAGGATGGCAGTGGAGCCGATGAGCTGCAGCTTGTCCCTCATGCTCACCACCTCCACCAGGTAGTGGTCCACCAGCTTCACAGCCAGGTACAGCGTCTCGTGGTTCAGCTCAAAGTTCTCCTGCAAGAATGTGGGCAGGAGGGGGTGTCAGGCAGAAGCTAGGCCCACCTGGCCTCCCCAGGTTCCCTCACAGGGGCCAGAGCTGTCCACAGGGCCAGGCTCGGAGGGAGGGATGCAGGCTCATCCCCAGTCTGGGGAGGGGGTAGAGCAGCTTTGCGCTAGGGACACTTGCAGGAGCCTCTGCCAGCATACTGAGGTCACACATGCCAAAGGCAGGGTGGGGACTGCTCTGGAGAAGGCCATGACCCCTCCCCATGCCCACATACCTGCACCTCCACCATCCAGTCCACCAGGATGGCACGCATGTCCCCACTGATGTCTGGCTGCTTTTCCATGTAGTCAGGGAGCATGAATTTCTCCTGCCAAGGTACCAACTGTCAGGGACTTGCCAGACACCACCACTCTCAAACGAGCCCCCTCGTGGTGCTCAGAGCCTCTGGGCAGCAAGTGGCCCTGCCCGCACAGTCATCCCTTCCCTGGACAGGGCTGCTGGCCCCTTGGCCAGGCATCACCCACCTCTCTTCCCCGCATGTATTCAAAGATCTCCTTGGCATACTGTGCATTGGCGTAGGGGTCATCCAACTGCTCCTTGTCTATGTCCTCCACAGCTGGTACCTGGTGGGATGGAGGAGGCAGCAGTAAGGGGGAGGCCCCAAGCTCTGTGGGTGCCAGTCACCCCTTCAGGGCAAGGCTGCTGCACCCCCTTCCCCATCCACCCCCATCACCGGTTTACCCCCCTCTCCAGCTTCCCATCACACTGGCCCAAGTATCTCTGAGGTCCAAAGCACTGCCTGGTGGCCCGGTATCACCAGCGGCAGCCACAGACCAGCACCATCAGGATGAGACTGGGGGCCACGCTGCAGCCCAGGGTCCCTGCCCTCTCCTTGGAGGGCTTCAGTACCTGCGCAGGCACCGGCTCCTCTGGCACAGGATCCTTCTTGGGCTCTGCAGGAGCTTCTGTCGGGGGAGTTTTCTTCATTGACCTGGACAGGACAAGAGCATAAATCATTGCTGGGAGGAGGCCACATCTCCTGGCTGAAATGGGGCCTCCAGAGCCCCTTGCTGCTTCAGGAAGGGGCTAAACCACCCCTAAAATATCCCCATAGAGACTCTTAGAATCATTTAGGTTGGAAAAGACCCTTGATATCACCAAGTCCAACCGTAAACCTCACACTGTCAAGTCCACCACTAAACCATGTCCCTAAGCACCACATCTACCTGTCTTTGAAATACCTCCAGGGATAATGACTCAACAACTTCCCTGGGCAGCCTGTTCCAATGCTTGATAACCCTTTCGGTGAAGAAATTTTTCCTAATATCCAATCTGAACCTCCCCTGGTGCAACTTGAGGCCATTTATCTACTGTCTGCCCTCCCCATCTGACTCAGTCTCTATCGCCCAAAGGAAGCCCCCACCACTGCTTGTTCTTCCCCATGGGACAGGTTTGCAGGTGCTGGCCCTGCAGTGTCCCCCCTGTCCTGGTCCCTGTCCCTGTCCCCATCTCCCCTGGCTACTCACTTTTTCAGGTTGATCTCATTGTTCTTGGCCACCCCCAGGGCAGCATGGGTCCTCTGTGCCTTGTGTGGTGCCACTTTCACAGCCTCCTTCTTCCCTGCCACCACCTGGTTCTTGTGAGCCTGTTTGGGTGAGAACGAGGGTATGCAGAGGTGCACAGAGGGAAGCGAGGTGTGCCCTGCAGGGAGACCTCTCCTCCTGCTGATGGGGCACAGGACACCCCTCACACAGGTGACACCCAGCCCCACCCTCACGGGGGACTCACAGGAGGCACCAAAGCCCCCACCCCCACAGAAGCACTCACATTAGTGATATCCCCGAATGCCGACCTCTTCTTGGGCCCGCCCTGGGGTGAGGATGGAGACCTCTTGGCCTGACAGCTCTCCTCCTGCAATAGAGGCTGTTAGAAGATGGGGGCCAGCTGCCCCACAGGAGCTCCCCAGGGAAGGGGCCCAGCTCAGGACTCACCTTCTCAGGGTTGGCATTCTCCACAGCAGGACCCACCTTGCCTGCTCGGGGCTGCTTGGTGCTCAGCATCTTGGCATTGCGTGGCAACGGCATCCTCTCCCTCAGCCTCTACGAGCAAGCTGGGAGCAGAGCAGGGCTTGATGTGGGCAGCTGCCTGCTTCAGGGACACCCTCAAGGGCTAGGGGCAGAGCCGTAGGGCACTTTTCCCTCCTGGGGGGGTAGTGCAGCAGGGACAGACCCAACCCACTCCCTGCGCAGTCAGATGGTGCCTTGAGGCAACCCCAGGGAGGGTGCAGGTCTGGCTAGGGGTGCAGGGAAGAGCTGGTGTGCTCCTCCCAGGGAGGGGGGGACATGGAGCCCCACGACCCCCCCAAAAGCACCCTGCTGGGAGCGGAGGGAGGGGCAGTTCCCAGCTCCCTGCATCCCGGAAAAGGGCGTAAGGGCTCCCGCTCCCTTACCCCCTGCCTCAGCACCAGGTGGGGAAGCAGGTTCGGGGGTAGCTCCCACCCCTGCCCTCCCCCGGGGCACTGCGGAACGGGCCGGGGGGGGATACCGAGCCCATGGTGGAGGGAAGGCAGGGCTAAGCCTCCAGGGGCCCTCATTCAGCAGCCGCCCCCCGAGTAGCAGGCCCCAGAGCCCGCAGGCCCCAGAGCCCCCAGGCCCCCGCTCACCTCCGCCGCCGCCCGCGGCCGGCCCCGGCTCTTTTGAAAGTAGCAGTTCGGTAGCGGCCGGCCAGCACTGGCCGAGCATCGCCCAATCAGAGCGCGGGGCGGTGCCAGGCGGCGGCCAATCGGCGAGCGGGTGGGGATGCGGTTGCTAAGGGGCAGGGCGGCAGGGTTTAAAATTCAGCGCCGGGGGCCAATGGGAGGGCGGACTTGCGGCGGGGGCGGGGCGAGCCGGCAGGCCGGCAGGTCGAGGCGGGCGGTGATTGGTGGGACGGGTTGCCGTTTAAATCCGTCTCGCGGGGGCTGGTGGGTCCGGTGTCGCGTACATGGCGGCCGGCGGGCTCGGCGTGGTGCCGGTGCCCTGGTGGGACCCGCAGGACCCGGAGCTCCGGGGGAGCGGCCTCGGCTCTCCCGCCCTTCATGGGGGGGTGGAGGCCCTCCACAGGCCTCCCGGCCTAGCGCCCCCCGCAGGGGCCTGGGCCCCAGCCTGCGGCCCGCTTCCTCTGCCCTCAGCCGGGGCTGTGGTCACCCCTTTTGCCTCCCGGGGCTGCCCTTCCTCAGCGGGCTGGGGGTCTCTGGTCGGGGGGGCAGGGCGTGCCCCGGGCTGGCCGTGCAGCTCCCGTGCCCGCTCTCGCCAGTGGGTGATGTAGCTCGCTTAGAGAATGGTGTCAAAAGGATCAGCAAAAGCGGTTTCAGTGTGACGTCCTAAAAGCGCGATTTAACCAAGTTTGATGGCAAGGTTCGCTCCGTTACTCTACTGCACAGTCATTTGAACAATGATTCGAAACCACCAAGGCGGAGTCAAAGGTACCCAGGCACAAGCCGGAGTTACCATACTACAAGGTTATGCGTGATATCAGTCGCTTGCCGAAGACCTGCCGCTGGTGAGAGGTCTCCCTGCCTCGAGGAGCGACGCTGAGGGCGTCCCAGCTCACGGGGAGATCACCGCCAGGCTGCCTGGCTGGGAGAGCTCAAAGGCGGCTTGCTCAGGCTGTCGTATTTATGGAATAAAGTGGTTGGCTTGCAGTCAAATGACATGCGATGGGAAAGGTATGCATGCAGCTCCTTGTACACACAACTTTCTTTGTTCCTTTGTAAATGATTCTTGGAAAAGCCACCTGCTTTTCGTGTGTTAATCGCATGATCGGTGTTCCAAGCTCATACGCATGGATGCTCACTGTGTCACTCTGCTCCTTTGGGGGTTTTCAGAGAACGGATTGGAACTAGCGAAGTTCTTGGCCTGGTTACAGCTTAGGCCTTTACCTTCTTTGGAGCCTGAACCAAACTACCGCGAGTTTGGTTAAGGGGTCGAGTGCATCTGTCACGCCTGCCCAGGCAGGGATGGCACCAGCAGCCACCAGTTCATCCCTGTTGGTCGAGCTCTGAGGGCTACAACCCACTGCTGCAGACACAGCCTCAAATGGGGCACGAGTAGGGGCTGTTTAACATGCTGGCCAGGGACAAAGCCCCAAAAAACCCTTGCAGCATGCCTAGGGGAAAGGGTCGTCCCTCTTTCCTCCTCCCCTGCCCTCTGTTCCTGCCTGCTGGGCTCGGGGGACCCAGGAGGGTCCATCTTGGGCTCTTCCACCAGCTCGGTTGCTCTCAGAGGGTCCCATCCACTTCTCATCCCCTGCCGAGATCACAAAGAGGGAGGGGTTGACGTCCCCAGCTCCCCTGGTGCTGCCGCTGCCGTCCCTGGCCTGGGAGCTCCCTGAGGTTCACTTGCTGTCGGTCTGGGATCCTTGTGGGATCCAGGTGTCTGCCTCTCCTTAAGCATATTGGGACAGTGCACACTCCAGCCAAAAATATGAGTCGGGTGCATACTTGCCAGGCAGAGCTGGGACGCATCCCACTGCTGATGGAAACATGGTGCATCAGCCTGTGGGGTAAGATCCCCAGCCAAAAACCCTCATCCAAGCCTGCCTGTGGCTCTGCGGGGGCTTGGGCGGGCTGCCTGCTTTGGGACAGGTTCACATCTGCCCGTCCTGCCCAGGCTTGGCAGGGGGAAGCCGGCTTTTCCAGTCCCCATGGTGCTGCCGCGCTGGCGCGCCTCAGGAGGCTCTCGGGAAGCCCGGCCCCACCGCAGGGGCTGTGGTTCACACCACACATGCCAAAATCTCACCCATCTGTCGGGGGGTACTGGAGGAAAGATGGGGGGAGCAAGAAGTGGACCCTGCAAGGTGAACGCTGTGGGTCTGCAGCAGGAGCTGTGCCAGCTGTCCAAGCATGGAGGCAAGTCTGTGGTCTCAGTCCTGCCCATCATCTAAAGATGCTGGGGTTTGAGGTGAGAGCCCCCCAAACTCTCCCTGGGCTCTGGCATCCCTCAGCAAACTCCCAAATCAGGCAGGATGCCAGTCCTTGCCCCGCCTTGTTGGAGCAGGATCGCAAGGCTGCTGCATTGCCATGGCACTCGGCTCCGCACCGGGAGAGCATCCACTGCCAAGCAGAGCGTGGCTCTGGCCGCAGAGATGGGGGCAGTGCCTCCCCGGCCCCCCGCAGACCACCAATGCCAACCGCTGGGTTAAGGGGCGCACTGATGTCCCCCATAGCCCTCTCTTGCTGCACCCAGCCCAGGCACGTGCAGTGGCAGATGGAAAAATAGACCCCGCTACATGCTAGCTCAAGAGCATCGGTGCCCGGAGTGTCCCTATTGTGAGAAGAGCTGGGTCACTGCTTCCATCCAGCCCCTTCCCACGGCACTACAGAGCCCGCACTGCCATTTGGAGCTGGAGCAGCCCCCAGACCCAGCCCGGCTCCCTGGCACCGTGGGGCTGCCGAGAAGCCCCTCTGCTTGGCATCTGGGGACGTTCGCTCCAGGTTTGCTTACCAGACAGAGAGCCTCAGGCTCAAGAGAAGCAGCAAGGGCAGGGAAGCATCGTTCATGGGATCCATGGGGACTGCTTTTCCCCCATTTCCCTTCCCCAGGCTAAAACCTTATCCTTTCCCATGCTAAAACAGGCCCAACTTGTTGCTCCCCATGGCCCAGGGCCAGAAACCCCAGCGGGAGGCAGGGAGCTGATCTGCACAGGGAGGGCTGAGCTTTGCTGCTTCCTTTTTCCTCCCTTTTCACTGTTAATGGCAGAGGTCAGGGAGGGACATTGTGTCTACGAGCTGTTGCATTTATTTACTGGAAAAAGCCCCAGCAACATGAAGGAAAGCACAGATTAACGCAGGGTGACAGAGCTCCCAAATACCTGCAGGGAGGTGAGAGCCAGCGCCGTGCCAAGCTGCTGGCTGCCCCAGCCCCGGGGTGCAGCTCCCCTGGGGATACCGGGGCTGCAAGGCACGTGGCATGGTAGGGCTGTGCTGGGTGATGTTCGTGGCGCTCTCCCACCCGCTCCACCTGCATCCTCCCTGCATCCTGGCCATTTCTGGGTCTCTGCCGGCGGCACGCTGCCTGAGTGCTGGGGGGTGTTCACGGCACCAGGGGTAGAAGCCAGCACCCAAGAAGAAACAGGAGCAAACAGCCTGGAAAGGCTCAGGGTGGGCTTGGCGTGGCTGAGCAGGGTTAAGTACTATAGAGCCAGCCGATGCGAGCCAAGAATGGGGAGGTTAGCTTAGGGTTAGCGGTGCGTTTGCGGCAAAGGAGCCAGCAGCCCCATGAGCCATCCCACAGCCCCGCATCACACGCAAGGACCGCATCTTGCCCCCAGGTTAGAGGTTTCCAGGCTGGTGGAGCAGTGGGTTGCCAGCCACGCTGGGGCTGCCATGGCCCTGCTGCCACTCAGGATGCCCACTCACCCCGAGGAGCCCAAACTCTTGTGTCTCTGCTGTGTCGGATCCCACTTAGCCTCCACCACCCACTGCTCTCTGGCCATTTTATTCTAGTTCTTATTTGGTGGCCGATTTGATCTTGTGGATGGCATATGGGCTCGACTCCTTGGGCATCCAGATCTCCTCCCCGCCGCGGCCCTGGTGCTCCACTGCTCCCTCCATGGCCGCCGTCAGTTCAGGGCTGAAGATGCTGTCGGTGGCCCGGTAGGTGCGGGTGAGGCGGCGGAAGGAGGAGTCCGAGGAGCTGTCGTCAGGAAGGTCTTCGTCCTGCTCATCCCGCAGCTTGGTCCTGCTCAGCTCTGAGCTGCTCCCCAGCTCCGGGTCTTTGAGAGCCTTCCCCATCTCCTGGAGGAAGGTCCTTTTGGGGCTGATGATGCACAGCAGGAGCATGAGGCCTCCCGAGACCCCGCAAAGAAAGTAAAGGCCAACTTTCTCTGGGACACCTGGGGGGCGAAGAGCAAAGAGAGACACCAGGGTACAAACTGCCTCCGCAACCTGTGGGGTACCAGAAAACCCCCTCTGCCAGGCACATGGGAGGAAGAGGAGGGGAGCAGGGATGCCCTCAGCACCCAGGCTGCAGGGGCAGGACAGACCCTGCCCCAGTGATCATGGCAGCATCACCCAGAGCTTCATCAGCACCCACCAGTGTCGTGAAATGCCCCTTTCCCCATAGAAAACCCCCACTGGGATGCAGGGTAGGCAGCATGGTGGGAGGATTCATCTTGCCAGGGATTTAAATGAGTAATTTCCCCTGGCAAGGGAAATTTTTGCCCGCAGAGGTGCCCTCCGTCAGTGCCCCTGCAGACAGGGCGGGAAGGAAGGAGACCCAGCGGGTAATTCAGCCCGTTGGAGAAGGAAGGTCCGCAGGCAGGACTGCAGCACCACTGCGACTGCCAGTGCTGCGGGACCTCGGGGCTCGTTCAACCTCCAAGCTCCCGCTCCCCATGGCCCCCCAAACTAGCGTGGGCGCTTGGTGCCCTCCTCCCTCGCGTGCCTGCCGACACTGCTGGAGGGGTCTGGGGTCCGGCTGCCTCTGAGCCGAGCCCTGGGCTGAGCGAGGGCCATCACGGGACCTGAGTCACCCTCCCAAGCCTGTCCCGCTCCCCCGGGTGCTGCGTGAGAGCCGGGGAGGGCACGTACCCCAAAGGTGGGCAAAAGCTGCCAGAGAGCTAGTAAAAATCATCCGGTCTTCCCGGAGCCTGGAGAACCTGGGCCCTTTGTACCATCCACCTGCAGCGAACAAGGGGACGCGGGCTGAGACATGAGGTGCTCCACAGTGCCCCGCTGCCCAGCTGCCTGCCCCTGCCTGCCTCCTTCCCCATGCCACACTCCTTCCTTCCTGCACAAGTGCTCCTCTGCCCACGGGGATGCTCCCCTGTGGGTCCTCCTCTCCCCTGCAGACAACATATCTCCAGCCCCTCAGACATGGGCACTGACCGATGGGTGGCTTCAGCCACGGGACAGCGATGCTGGGATGGAGCTGCAGGGCTCGTGCCAGCGGTGGGTACCACAGATGGAGACAGGCCATGGAAGGGGTAGTTCACCCGGGCGCAGACACGGTGCCGCACCAGTTTTGGTGTAGTCTCCCCCCCACGTTACCATGCATGTAGTCTGAGAGCAGGAAGGGGTCCGAGGTGTCAGGGCCCACCTCCTCCAGCAGCTGCCTGGGCACTGCAAGGAGAGCACACACTGAGCATCACCACCCTGCTCACCCCTAGCAGCCCCCTGTCTCCCCAGGGAGCCCCGTGCCCCTGCCTGCATGGCACTGGGTGGGCACAGGAGGGGCTCAGCCAGTGGCCCCCATGCCCCCAGCCCCACAGGTGGCTCTCACCGCAGGTGTAGGAGACTCGCAGCTGTTTCTTCGTGCCAGGGAGGCATGGGTCGCCGAAGGTGGCCCGGTCAGCAGCTATGGTGCAGTTCCCCTTGCGGTGGCACTTCTTGGAGACCCTCCGCAGAGCGTCCGGAGCCAAGCACTCTGCAAAGACATGGGGCATGGACCCGCAGGCAGACCTGCCTGTCCCTGCTCACTGGGCACCGGCCAGCTGGGGCCAAGGGGCACAGGTGCTGCCCAATGGCATACTTGTGCCACGCTCTCTGCATGGCTCCTGGCCCCATTTCTGGCTCGAACTGTTCCGGTGTACCTATATGGGGTCCCCCAGTGTTCAGGGCATCACACTCCGGTTTGCCCCGCAGGAATCGTCCGTAATTTGCAGAATAAATGGCCAGGATGGATTTTGGTCGGCACTGCAGCCTCAGCTTGTCGTTCTCGCACACGGTTTTGACCCGATGGTTCCCTGGGGAGTGACACCGCCGAGCGTCCCAATGCAGAATCACCTGCAGCCCCTTCCCCCCTTAGCCCAGCCAAGGGTCTGAGAGCTGCCAAGGGCAGGGCTGGAGGAGAGCTGCAAGATACAGGAGCAGCTCAGCTCCCCTCTCTGCCCCTTTCCGAGCAGCCGAGGCCAGGGAAGAGCCCACACGGCGTTGCCCAGGCCCCTCTCCACCTCACCTGGCCGGCACTTGTAGGAAGCGATGAGGTACTTGTGTGTCCCAGGGCATGGGTCTGGCCCAAAGACTTGGCTGTGCACGGAGAACTGGCACCACTGCTGGTCCTGGCACTCAGCCAGCAGCTTCTGGAGAGCAAAGCGGGACAGTCGTGAAGATGGGTGAGGAGTCCTGAGGCTGTTCTCGCCTCCTCTCCCTCCGTGCCATCACCAGGCTCAGGGAAATGGCCTCTCACCCCGCAGAGGTGTCCTATGGCTGCTCACAGCCCCCTGCCACCGCAGTCACCCTGCTTCTTGTGGTGGTTCCTGAATCAGTTCCTCCCCTGCACCTATACAGAGCTGGGTGCCGGCACACGTCTGCCAGTACCTGTGTCAGCACGCACGCCAGCACCGCAGCATGCCATGCATGTGCAACACCCGTGCAGGCGTGCACGCTAATGCAGCCCTGTGCAACACCCATGGGCGTGCACGCTGACACGGCTCCGTGCAACACCCGTGCAGGCGTGCACGCTGACACGGCTCCCTGCAACACCCGCACGTCCCGCCCGCGCGCCCGGGCACGGCGCTCCGTGCAATGCAGGGGCGCGGCCGCAAGATGGGGACGCGGGTTCGCACCGCCGGGCTGCTCGGGCAGCGTCCCCGCTGGGCACCGGGGTGGCCTCTGCCGCTGCCCGCTGTCCCTGCCTGCCCACGGCGGCCCGCGGCTCTGGCAGGGATCTCCCCCGCACCCCCGGCTCGGGCCGCTA